ATTTAGATGACATTAAAATACCAGTAAAGATTAGATATTAAGAAAAAAAAGACCTTCCATCCAGCAGCTGTGGCTTTCCCTTAAAAACTTTCTCCTTGGTGGAGGAGCAGGTGACAGTGAATTTGATGAACATTGAGAGTGAAATTCCCTAATAGCACAGTCAAGCTGCAAGCCAAATGTTATACAAAAGACCTTGGCAAGATAAAAAGAAGAAAGAAAGAACATGAAAGACTTGGTATCGCAGTCGTTTCTCCCCTCAAAGGGCTTCCCAACCACCACTGAAGTGGCTGTTTTCATTTGTGGGTAAGGTGAAGATACTTAGCGCCATTTTCATAAGTGGAGAGACCAAGCAGCTTGCCCACCAGTGACACAGTGGTGTTGTCCTCACAAGAAAATACATTGAGATGCATCTTAAATTAAACGAGCTGCATCTTCAGCAATGGACAGGTTCTCAGGAGCCTCATGGAGAAGGAGCTGCCTCTTTGGGTTTCCTCCCTTACAAACACATCTGCAGCTTTTCAACAGGTAGGGACAGTCCTCGAAAATGTTATGCCAGTGATACCATGGCCTTCATAGCATTGAATCTTTGTTTCATGTATTAGCTGAATTGAGTGCAAATGCTGTGTATTAGAAACTTTCCTTTTCATTAGCGCAGCTGTCAGGACGTTCTCCATCGTGCCCATGAAATGATGTCTTGTGTTGCCAGTTGTAATGGAGACTGGAGACTCCTCTAGCACCACAGTCCTTGAAAAACATGTTTGAAACCCTGTCTGCTATATAGTGGAGAAAGACACAGTTTGCAAGTCATATGCTCATCTTCTCAAACAAACAGAGAGTGTCTGGGATGCTACATCTGCCATTGACTCTGAACCGTCTACAAAGCCAGAACAACATACAGCTTTTTAAAATACCAAGATCTCTCTTTCCACCATGCAGAAACTTCAGCTGATATCAAATCCTGTCACATTCAGTATGTTCATGTGAAATGAAAAAAGAGGGTGATATTCACATGTACTATTTCTAACTATACCAAATGAAAAAGCATGAGAAAAGGATTAAAACCATCTTTGGGACTCCAGTTACACAGGAATTGGACATATACTCGGGGAAGGCAGGTTTGTAGGATTGCCTTGGCATAAGTAGTATTGGAGAAGTCAGTTCGCCTTTCCAAATCTTAGTTTTGTCTATTTGCAAAGCAGAAATACAACTATTCCTTAACTTTATAAAGCAGTTTGAATGTATGGATGAAAGAGCAAGAAAGCCATGGTGGTATTACAGACTTGCAGGCCACCTAAAAGTGTGCAAGCTGATTTTTTTTCCACGTTTTTATATTGCATATGTATTTAACACTCTGAACCCTAGACTATCTTGAGTAGGTTGATTATGTGGTGGTGAAGTCAATGAAGACTGGTAACAACACCTAGAAGTGGAGATGAGCTTGGCCTTCCCAGTCATACTCAGGGAAAAAGCCCGTTTCCTTAGTCCAGAAGAGGATTCCAAGTTATCACAAAGGCCCTGAGAAACAGCAGTTTCCTTGACCAGTGCACTCAGTGGTTTTCCATGCAAACCCTGAAGGCTGGTGTTGCTGCAGATGGGGAATTCAGCATTTCAGCCAGCTGGGATCCTTGCGTGACTTGAGATCCAAGCAGCAACTTACTAATTGGTTAGTTACACTAATCTGGGTTAGTAAACCCTGCATTGGTAAGCGCTTTGACTTAGCTTTAATAAAGAGACCGTTTGATGGTTCATGGCATTAATGAGGGTTTTTTTTTTTTTCCCCTCATGTGCTTAAACTTCCCTCAGACCATTTTTAATGAGGCTGGAATGGGCTTGATGGAGAATTTAACGGCGTTTTCCTGGTTTCCGTGCCTCTTTGCCAAGCTGATCATGAAAGCTGCTCTTTCATGATGTGCGAATTTCTCCCCATTTGAAGAACGAACATCACATGCGGCACAGAAAGAACATTTTAGAAATGAGCCATTAAGCAGAGAGGAGGCACTTTTCAGAGGCCTGCAAGTTGCACAGCAACCAGGGGAACATTTGATTTCTCAAGTGACTTTGACTCAGGGGGAAAACAGATTTATTTTCCCCTTAAAGCTTTCTATCATAGGTGATAAAGAGAAAATATGTTTATACATTTCCCCCCTCAGAAAAGAAGTTGTACCTGATCTCAGAGAAACAGCAGTCGCTATTGCCATGTAAATTACTGCAGAACACATGCGGCCGCAGCTGCTGCTTGAGATCTTAAACACGCAGCGCAGTCTGTATCTGCTAGCTTTAAACGTAACACGTCACCTCTTCTGAAGTCATAGATTAAAAACCAGCGACCCAAACAAGCATCCATGCTTGATGTTTTTCATTCTCTCTGGAATAGTTGCTTTCATCACCGTTCACGGATTTGGCTTTTTATAGTAACAGTTTCTGGTAGTTCTGGGCAAAAGAACTTAGCTGTTTCCTGTAGATAGATAGTCTCCGTATCAGCTATTAGCCAGCTGCTGGTGCAAGCATGTGTAAGTTGATTCAGAATCAAATACACTCCTGATTTTCTTCCGTGGTATCCTCCAGAGTCATCTGGTACTTGTATGCTAGAAGCAGCAGTCAAGTTTATTATAGTAATAGCACATAAATGTCCAGCTTCATAAATGCTTGCTATTTCTCCTGGAGATTTTATTTTCAATCCTCATTTTGATCAGTCCATCTATTCAAACTACCCAGTCCAGAAAAGATCTAATTTTGATCCAGGCACTCTGTTACAGCATGTAAAATATATTCACAAAATCTAAAAATATGCACAGAATTGAATGACTTTGTCAGACCTTGTCTGACTTCCATCATGTGTTAATTTGCTTTCTGCAACACTGTTCATACCAAAAACCCATTCTCAGAAAGAAGCAGACAAAGATATAAATGCTGCAGAAAAAGAGTAAGAGATCATCTTTGTTATTTGATTTTTCCTTCTCTGAGCACCATTCCAGGAGTTCTTCCCAGGTTATGTCTTCAGCTACTGTGGGGGGCTCAAGAGAAGTGCCTCCAAGTGCCATTTGTCATTGGAATGGGGGCTTGAGATACCACCACCCCTTCACATAGTGGGGATAAACTATTCAGGACAACCCCGTTGATGAGTCTGGCTGTTGCCTTTGAGTGCCTGACACCAAGCAAAGAGTTTTTCCTTTCAGACCGACCGTGCTTTAGTCATTTTGAACATAGCAGTGATAGCGCACTGCTTGTGAGAGCGCTTGGAGAACAAAAAATATTGGCCAGTTTCGGCAGTGGGTAGATATTCAAAAGACACAGATGCCAGCAAAAGCTTTTATTAAGAAACGGTTGCATCAAGTCTAGGTTCCATAGGTACTAAGACCAATGGAAAGTTGTAGGTACAAACATGTGGGACCTGATGAAAAGAACCTTGAATCCATCATACAAACATGCACGTGACAGCTGATTTATGTGAGAGCCCAGGCCATAGCTACGCTAAATATAATAGAGTTGACATCAGAGCTTCTGCTAGGGTAGAAACACGTAGCCAATTTGGGATGACAAAACCTTGTGTTCAGAAGACGGTCCCTTTGCCACCACAGCGTGCTCTGAGGAGCTCGCCGAGCCTGCTTGCTAGCACCTCTTTGAGGGCTGTTCTCTGCAGCGAACGCTCCTAGCACTGCCGTGGTGATGAGCAGTGGGGTTCTCCCTGGTACTGCCATATCCTGCCATAAATGTGGTTCTGTCGTTACAGGATTATTCTTGCTGATAACTGTATCTGTGTAGGACAAGTTTTTTTCTGGTTTAGCTACAGCAATATCAGCATAAAATGCATCCTCAGAGCAACTCTTGAGGGCTTTTTTCTGGAACTTGTGGAGCCCAGTGAAAAATCTGAGCTCAGCAGATCAGAGGGATAACTTCATTAAGATAGATTAGAAATTAAATTCAAAAAGAAAAGCAATTATGTTTTGATCTTGCAGACATCGCTAATTGGCTGTGGGAATAGGGTCCATAAAGAGCATATTTCTTCTGCAGACTATGGGGCTTTCCAGGTATAATCAAGAACATAAAATCTTCTGGCAGAAGCCAGAAATACTCTGTCTTAAGTTTGCAAATCCAAGGGCTGTTAGGTATTAAAAACATCTAAAGTAGCTGCAAACTGAGCAGCTACCTGGTCTTCTAGTCACTGCTGAGAAATGCTGGCGGGGGTCTGGGTGAGAGAATGGGAAAAGTGACTTACTGCTTTCTCTTTCTAAAATACACCCTTCTGCCCCATAGCCGGCTTTACTATGGGGAGTTGTGTGGACTCTTCCGTATCCAGCAACCAGGAGCCCGTCTGAGGCACCAGGCAGTAGGAACAGGGTGGGAAAACTCTTCTTAGCCCACCAAAGGCTCTTCCAAATGCTGTGTGTCTCATCTTCCCTTCCTCGCTGCCCCGGAGGGTTTTTTCTCACCAAACATGGGCAGTATGACTGGGCCTGGCCCTTTCCTGGCAGGAACAGATTTTTTGGGATAGCACTGGAAGTTGTCACATGGAAGGAGGGGTGCAGGAAAGGTGAGGTGCTTCTTTTTCTGCTGTTGCTGCTGCTGCTCCTTCTTCTTCTTCTGCTTCTGCTGCTGCTGCTTCTCCTGCTCCTGCTGCTGCTGCTGCTTCTTTTTCTGCTGTTGCTGCTTCTTTTTCTTCTTCTGCTTCTTTTTCTTCCTCTTCTTCTTCTTTTTTTCCTTCTTCTTCTTTCTTCTTTATTCTTCTGGAGCTGAGGAGCCAGCGAGGTCCAAGGACACACATGTTCTGCCGTACATCTTGCAGCAGTGCATGTTAGCACCTTTGAGAAAGGGTTTTCACCTAGAATAAGAAAGAATTGGTCAAAAGGCTTCCCATCCAGCTCTGAGCACTGGGCTGATAGGTCCAGTGGGGGCAAAGCGAGGACATCAGCCACGCGACTCCGATCCACCAGAGTGACTGTCATGAGGCCAAGGTTGAGAAAAGCCCTTTAGAGCTGATTGTTCCTGTGCTTCCTCCCCAGTTTGTCGCTCAGCCAAACTGCCAGCAGCTGCTCGCGACTCTCTGGTACGATGGCTTTCCAGGATGGAGGCGGAAACACTGGGTGGTGAAACTGTTGACCTGTGTCACCATCGGACTGCTGTTCCCCATGCTATCCGTGGCGTACCTGATTGCACCGAAGAGCAGGCTGGGACTGTTCATTAAAAAGCCATTTATAAAGTTTATCTGCCACACCGGCTCTTACCTAACGTTCCTCTTCATGCTGCTGCTGGCATCGCAGCACATCGTCAGGTCCGACCTCCACATGCAGGGACCGCCACCCACCATCGTGGAGTGGATGATCCTGCCCTGGGTTCTAGGTAAGTCACCAAAACGCCCGCGCGTGATGGTAGCTGTGGGGGCTCACTGCTCATCTCAGCAGCACCAGCCCGGAAAGAGATTTGGCAGCCAGCTTCATGAAACAGCTGGAGTCCTTCTGGAGCAGCAGAGCCCGCTGGCCTGGGGCTCTTCTCATGCGCATGTTGCCATCTGACGTGCCTTGAGACATGACCCCGAGTAAACTGCAGCAGACACGGCTCTCTCCTGGCTTTCTGCACGCTCTGTGTGGGGCCTGGGCGCAGGAACTCGCTTTGGGATTGTGCTGGTAATGAGTGGGTCACGGCTAATGCTGGCAGCGCTCTGCCAGCTGGCACGAGGCGGGAGGCAGAGCCGGGAGGTGCCTTTCTGCTTCCCGTGCGGGCACCTCCCGAGGAGCACACAGGGCAGCGGCAAAGGGAGCAGAAATCCCCCTCTGCCTTACACTGATAAACACTGAGCAGATCAAAACTGAGCTCTCTAGTGCAAGCAGATGAAGGAGGAGGTATCTATTATCAAAATGTCAAATTGGAGGCTCCTATTCCAGTGTGTTTGGAGACCCGTGAAGCAAAGGAGGGTCTGTGTTCCCTGAAGGTCAGATAGACAGATGAGGCAGTGGGACAGATGGGTGAAAGCAGGTAGACCCACGAGGGAGAAGACTGGGGAGGCAGATGAGCGAGGTGTATCTACCCTTTCTGACTCGGCTCAAATGTAGCAGGACTGGGAACATGGAGGCTCATTAGAGGCACAATCTTGGCTCCCAAAACAAAGTGCTCTGTGAGCTGCTGTGTTACTGGGAGGGTAATGGTCTCCACTCCTTCCTTGCCCTCACCAGCCTCTGCCCATACACCCTGCTCAGGCCAGAGCATGTGCCAAAGCCAGCAATGCTGAGGAAAAGCAGGGAAGGAAAGCGAGCTGCAAACATGTTCACAAATCGCTTCCCGTCGTGACCCAGGGCATCTTGCTCCTTTCATAGCTCCACGGCATTTTATATAAATGGTAACTCAAGCCTCCTTATCTCACTGATCTAATTTATGGCATTGAAATACCTGTGTTCATAGAGGTTTCAGAATAATCTGAGAAGGTTAAAGGTCCTTTCTGAGCCTACACGATTTCTTCACTTCCCTCTTACCTCCAGTTTAAATCGAGGGAAGTGGTGGGCATTTCAGCAGAAGTGATGTGCAGATGAAAGGAGGATAATCCATAAGGAAAAATGCCCTTTCAAGATAGCCTTTCACGGTTGTCTGCTTCTCCCTTTGAGTTCTTTTGTTTTGGATAAATAGGGGTATTGTGGGACTGTTTATTAAACGGAGACATTAGAACAATTTCACCAGATTAAAGGTTATTATTTATGAAATATCTTCTGCTCTAAAAGGAGAGAGAGAGAACAGGCACACACAGCATTGCTGTAACTATAGTAACCAGCAAGGATAACTCACTATAAATATAGTATACGAGTTCTTCTACAGGATCCTTTCCATTGATTTATTTTATGGTTTTGAGTGCATGCAAAGATTTGGAGGCAGCTGTAATAAAATTACCTTATTGGCCTTGACATTATGTTTGCCTGACCGCTGACCTGCTGGCTGGCAGATGAAGAGCTTGGATTGATATTCCGATGGTTGCAGCAGTTTATTTCAGCGCTATCTGCTCCTCAGATTGAACTTTTAGGTCCTAAAAATGAGTTGCAAGTGGCAGTTCAGTTTAAATGACCATTGCAGTGTCCTGTTGCTGGGTCTGGATAGCAATGTGGGTAATCGTATTGAAGGCACACCTTGAGATGTACTCTGTATTGTTTTTCTCTTCACACGGAATGTTTCATAGCTTTATTTGAGGATTACGGTGTAAACTGAGTAATTCAAAATACCTGGGGACTTTGAAAAGAAGTCTCAGAAGCATGTGGGTGATACAGGAGCCAAGCTGCCACTTGCTTTTCAATGGTCCATAGGTTCAATAAAGTATTTTAAGTGTTTTTGAAAAAAGGATGTGGTCAAATAAGTTATTATTTGCAATGAAGATGTTACCCTAGGTGAGCTTTGCAGTGAGGTAATGAACCACAGAGCTTCCTGCTTACCCTGCAGCTATAGCAAAGGTGAGCGACTGCCATATATTATTACTAGAAGACATTTTGGATTCAGATCCTATAGGATCAGCCAATCTATTAGAAACGATACCAAATTCAGTCTTTTAATAATTTATGCATAGAAAACACTTACTGTCTGAGCAAGTTCCCTCTCACCAGTTAAAATTCACATGTCTCAGACAGTCTCCTGGTGTTTTCTATCTATCTGGAGCCCTGGGTAGGAAGCGTAAGTCTGTTTCATCTCTCTACATTGATATTTTTTTGTAAAATGTGTTAGAAAAATGCCGTATAATCACCATTATAAGGGATGAGGCTGTTAATTTATAATTTTTGTAATAACTTTTTATTATATCTGGTACACGCTGATTTAATAACAAAGAAGATCTCCTCATGTAATGGACTCTCTTTCTTTCTACAGGTTTTATCTGGGGAGAGATCAAGGAAATGTGGGATGGAGGATTCAATGAGTATGTACATGACTGGTGGAATCTGATGGATTTTGCAATGAACTCCCTCTATCTTGCAACAATCTCCCTTAAAATTGTTGCCTATGTCAAGGTACAGTAACCTGGAATGGGTTTGTGGGAGCTGCAGGATAGACACTGTGAAAATCAGAATTAAAGATGGCAGAGAAGAGCTGCCTTGCGAGCAGCCCAGTTCTGAAAATTTGCTTGAAAAGTGTATGAATTTGTTTGGAGAATGATCTTCCTTCTCATCCTTACTGCTTGCTTGAGATGGAAGTATTTGGCTGTTTGGGTCCAATTGAAGTTTTTTTGGCTGTCTGTGCTGTAGCTACTCAGTTGACAAAGATGTGGGGCTTTTTTCCCACCGAAAACATGATTTTTATATAAAACGATAACAGAAAAAAAAAAGGCATAAGATTATCAGAAAATTCCTACAGCAAAGATGTATAATAGTAGCCTGTGAGCCCCTATGGATCTATAGATTACTTATCAGGAGTCTTAATGAAAGTCTGCAAAGAAGCACAAGCTGCTGGTAGGAGGTTTCCATCCGAAACACGAGAGTTGGCTTCTCCTCCTGAAAATGTAGTGTTTGAAAATGCAGGCTTGGAACTGACAGAGGGAGAAGCTGGATCTTTAGAGCTGTGCTGCAGATCCTTTACTGTGACGCTCCGTGCATGGCAAGCGGCCGCATCAATGTTCATCTCTGAAGCACATTTTAAAATTAACAGATATGCGATGCTCAGCGCTAATGCGCGCACAGCTTTGGAAGCCAGATGGCGTGAAGCACTTGCTCCCTGCCTCTCTTCTTGGAAGCTGGAGATGACATGCAAAGGGCCTCCCGCAAACCCCTTAACACTGTGGCTGGCTGGGAGTGCAGTTGCAAGGGCTCCTGAGCCACTTTTTTGCTTGGCATGAATCAGCAGGAGCCTCTCTGTGCTCAGGGGAATTGCATGATGTCAATCAAGGAGCCTGGCTGCTCCTTAGCCATGGATGCGCTTCATGTGTCCCTGTGCCGCGTTCCTGGCTTTTCCCTGGTAGTTGGGAATTGCTCCTTCCAGCCCAGCATGAGCAGTTGCCCAAAGTTCCCTCGTTCAGTCTCAGCCAAGTGCAATGCAAACGGAGGAGAAAAGAGGTGCAGATTTCACAAGCGCATCGATGCCAAAGCGGGAAGGCGCTTGTATAAACTCTGTAACAAGCAGCCCTGCTGTGGGGCCTGCTTAAAATCCAGGAGGTTGCATAACGTGGAGCTCGTGTTTTTCAAAGGGAATCGCTTGAACATGGTTGCTACTCCCTGAGCAGGCAGCCCTGTAGCAGCATCAAAGTGGGAGCAGATTACATCTTTTTTTTTTCCCCAACATTCAGAGGGAAATTAGACGCTTGAAAGGTTGGTCTTTAAACTGAGCAATACAAGAAATGCTGGAAATTGTAAGATTCATGAATAAATCTTAAAATGTTAACAATCTCTTTCTTTCTCACACACAAATTGCTAAAAGAGCCGGGCATCCACAGATTTATATGGTCACACACTGGGATTTAAACTCACAGCCAAACCACGCGGGCAAACAAAATACAGCTTTGTATATAGGCTTTGTATGAACAACAGAAGCCTATATGCAAGCCACAAAGACCTATATGCTGGCACACAAAAGAAACCTAATAGGAATATACCTGTTTGAGTATGGATCAGATCCCTGTGGATTAAACCTGGCGTGTCTGACAAGGACCAATGTCAGGGAATTTGGAGAGGTTCATAAAAACGTATATAGGATCCATTTGGACTCAGCATTCCCGTAGGAGTTCCCAGCTGACCTATGTCACTCAGAGGCTGCGCCCTGAGCTGAAAAACAAGGATTTATAACCCTGATAATGGTTTCAAAACCCTTTGCAGCATGACTTCTAAAGGTTTTTTGTTATTTATAGAACAGCCCGGGGCTGGAAAAGGCTGGTATATGTGCCAGTATGGTATAGCCTAACACTTCTTGGAACTTCAAAGGCTTACATGGACGTTTAGCTTTCTGCCAAATATCAGAAAAATAAATTGCATCTGGACACTAATGTTTTCCATCCTTGTTTTTTACATGGAGACCTTTTTATTTTTTTTTCTGATTTGACCAATTTCCAAGACCTGGCATCAATGTTGTCCAGTACCAATTAAATCTGCAGGCTAATTATAGGGTAAAAATACTTCCTTAATCAGTTTTCATTTGCTGCATTGAATTATCCTGTAATGAGGAAGCGTAAATGTGACTACTTGGCTTAGCTTATTTGTCCTGTTCTTTATATGTCTCTGCTTTGTTCCATCTTCATCTTCTGAAGTCTAACCCAAACAACTGCAACCTGCTCAGCTGTCCCAGGTGCCCAGTGGTTTTCATTAGCTACCTCTGAAATCGGCTCTTTGTGTTCTCGTCAGCAGAGCTGCATGGCTCAGAAGTGACCACTGCTTTCCAAGCAGGGATATGAAGTCAGTTTACAGAGGGGCAAAGCATGACCCTAAAAAGTTGCTTTAAAAATATATGTGAAAAAGAGCTTTCCATGGTCCTCTCTATGCCATCAGTGATGAACCCGAGCAGAGAGCCACAGGGCTGAGTGTCCGGCCAGGCTGTGGAAGGGCAAGGGGAGCAACTGCACAATCACCCTCCTCATTGTCGCCGCCTGCCTCCTGCTGCCGGGGCTGGCAAAGGGTTAAAAATGCTGGCCCCTTTGCAAACATTTTAAGAGGCATCTCCAAATGAAAGGAAGAAAGTCAGTCCGTGATGTTCATAAAATAAAGAACAGTTTGGAAATGTCAGAAGCAATCAGAGGTTATGTTGAAATGCCTTTGTGTGATATCCGAGCTGCTTAACGCAGAGACATCAGCGTGCTTTTAGCTCCAGCCCTAAAAAATGCCAGCTATGTACATCGGAGCTTCAGATTTAAATGGAAAGTACTTACAAATTCATCTGTCAGACCAGCATGATATTACACCTTTCCTTTTAAAAGGTACAAATATGATTTTAAAAGCCCTAAACACTCTGGCTACATTATTGACTGTATTATTGTAAGTACATTTTTGCCCTTTTCTAGTTGTTAAATGAACAGAGGCATCTGATAAGGGGGTAAACAATTCCTTGAATGTAAAATGCCTGATTCTGTTGAGCCGCGCTAGGCCAGCGTGGCTACGTCCATGGGAGCAGCTCCGTGGTACCTATTTGCGTCAGGCTGCCCTTGAGTCAGCTAATGCTCTGCCTTTACAGTTGCGTTACAAACCGAGTTAATTTTATAATTGATGCACTTAAATGTAGCCAGTGTTTCAGCTGTAATTACGACCTCTGCTTTAACAGCTTTCCTAAAATTGCTGTGACAAATTAACTAATAAGAAAATTAATATGGAGGAAGCATTTTGGATCTGGGCTGTTGGCACTTTTTTGAGATTACTACAGAAGGAGAGCACCCACTCCCCGTGTTCCACAGCTCGGTGCCTTCCCTCTGCCCTCCCTGCTCCCTCCCTTGCATTGCATATGCAGTAGGTGTTTGCTAGGGTTAGGTTAGATAAACCCAACACAGCCAAACAACCTCGAGGAAAACTGGTCCTGCAAAACTATCTGTATCAAGGGGACAGAATCTGGCAGGGGAGTTGGTCATTAAAGCTAAATCTGAGCCCATGTTAACTCAGCTTCAAGCCTGAATCCTGAATGTTAGTCTGGTGCTGAGACACAGAGCTGAAAAGCACTTCTTCCCTCATCAGTACCCAGTTAGCATTTACGCACAACGCACTCGTTTCAGCAGGTGTGACATTTCAAGCTATCTCAAAGCAACTACAACATAATTCACTTTTATATCCTTGTTATTTCTTGCAGTATAACGGTTCTCGTCCAAGGGAGGAATGGGAAATGTGGCACCCGACGCTCATCGCAGAAGCCCTCTTTGCAATATCCAACATTTTAAGTTCCCTGCGCCTCATATCCCTGTTTACAGCAAATTCACACCTGGGACCCTTGCAGATTTCTCTGGGACGCATGCTGCTAGACATCCTCAAATTCCTTTTTATCTACTGTCTGGTGCTTCTGGCTTTCGCCAACGGACTGAACCAGCTTTATTTTTATTACGAGACCAGTGCCTCGGAGGAGCCCAACAACTGCAAGGGGATTCGATGTGAGAAACAGAATAATGCCTTCTCCACGTAAGACAGCCTTTCCTTCCCCTTTCTAACGCTGACTCGCGCTGCCCCCGTTTTGCCTCCCTTGGCACACTGGCTGTCAACGAGCCTCTGCTTAGGCTTTGAAGCGGGTGAGCCACACGGTGTGTAGGGAGGCTGCGAGTCTGCCAACACGATGGGCTGTTTGTACTGCCATGGCTGAAGTTTTACTGTGACCAATGCATAATTGCAGCATATTTTAGAAAACGGATATTCCCTTGCCAAAATAAGTGCTCTGATTCTGGGGTAGCTAATGCAATATAGGAGACAAGGGATAAGCGTTAAAAATTTTAAGAAAAACCAATGTGCTAGAGCAATAGCAGCACTCTCACTTCTTACATACACACAAGCACACACGCACATATACATACATTTTATATATCCATGATGTTGAAGGCTTCTCCAATTCCCTTGGGAGAGACCAAAATCACAGTGAAATCCATTTTGCTGGAAGTACAGGTTCTTTGCTGAGATGTTGGCATGGAAATGGCTGCGATGACAGCTGGCTGGGCTGAAAGAGATAGCACATGCTGCAAAATAACACGCATTGTCTTTCTAATGTATTTGTTTTAATTACTACTAGTGGAAATAATTATAATAATCAGCCCACATCCAATTGCTCTCGCTGCTTGCACAATACTTAAAAACACAATGGGGAAAGAAGTAAATAAAGTGCCGTCTAGGAAAGGCCTGCGCCCCGTGAGCAAGCAGAGCAGGATTGTTGTCCACCACTCCGTGCTAAATTAAATCAAACTTCTCCTGGCGCCCAGTCATTCTCTGCCTGTCCTCAGCTGAGGGCTTGAGGTTAGGGAGGGCTTTGGGCGCACTGCCTCTGTTCTGGAAAGCCATGAAGCCACGGGAACAAGGAGCCGCGGGCCAGTTCCCCGGCAGAGCAGCAACGCCGCCGGCTTGATTAATTCTCATTAATTCTCCATCCATATCTGGAGGAAGTGGATGGAATTGCGCTGCGCTAATGAAAAACAGAATTAAAGACTTTGGTCTTTTTTCTATTTTAATTGCTTTGAATCCCCAACAATGTGTTGTGTGGCCCTTGCACCGAATTAACTAGGAAATGCTGCTGCTTCTGGCAGGCTCGGTGCAGCCTCGAGCGCAGGACGGGTCCAGCGCCCCAGCTCGGCGCCGGGGCCCGTTTGCCTGGAGCGGTGGTGAGCAGCTCCGTTCCCCTCCTGCCTCCCCCTTTGGAGCCACCTCGTTGCCAATGGTTGCTTTTTACCATCAGTGGAGGCAACAACAGCAGCACGGCCCAGCTAGGGAAAAAGAACATTTGGTCAGTGGGGAGAAAAGAAATGACAAGTTTCCGAGAAGGGGCAAAGTCTGGGGAGCTGGGACGATGCAGAGCCCCGGGAGGAGGCTGAGGACGGGCGCCAACGCAGCCGGCACCCAAGGAGCTCAACTCTGCCGCGGCTGCCGGGGACCCATTAGGGCTGCGCTCTTGTGGCGGGGGGCAGCGCGCTCGGCACTTGTCCTTTCCTTCCAGCCTTGCTTAATGAAACATTTAGCGTATTCCTAAACACATCGCTGCTGGCTATAAGTTCCCCAGGGACCCGCTGGCACTCGGCCGTGGAGCCACACAGGGCCGCACACTCCAGGGGCCATTGGCGCTGCCTCAGCCTTGCTCGCATCCCTCCCTCGTGCAGAAAGCAGCCACAAAGCCCCAGTCAGTCCCCCAGGACCCCAGCCGGGCTGGGCACCTGCACAAAGAGCCCTGATCCTGTGAAGGCACCAAACGCCGGCCGTGCGCGCGGCCCTTTGCCCACGCGTTACTTCCTACCACGCCCCAACACCAGGCTCAGTGTTTGTGCTGGAGAGGGAGATTTCTGCATCGTGGAGATGCACTTGTGCTTTGTGGCAGCAAGGTGGTGACGCCATGAGTAATTCTCATCCTCGTGCCTTGGCCTCCCATCCCTCGGAGAGCAGCTTCACAAATAGGTTTAGCAGCCGGCACATGGAGGAAGAGGAGGCTGCAGTGTCCTCTGGCCGTCCTGCTTCAGGCCCAAGCACTACCCCAGGCTTCGGTGCTGTCACCTCAAAGCAACGCACTGATCCCCTCTGAGACTGGTTTGGGTTTCACGCAAGCACGCAAGCCCGGTCTCCCCAGAGCGTCCAGTCCCATCAGCGGCTTTACTAATATTAGTTAAAACAGGTTAAGAGTTAACGAGGCCTCCTCTATTTTTAATAAAGAAATAGCATTCTTTGGCTAAGCCTTATTTAACTGCTATCTCACTCATTTAATAAACCTAACAGCTGGGCTTTGGGGAGCACGGGTTTTTGCTCGAAAGAGTCTTTATAATATTGGCTAGTGAAAAACACAAAATGTCTGCTAAACAGAAGGAAACTGAATCCCCCAGTAACACACTGGGATCCACGGGATGTAGGTGCCAGGAGGCCAGATCCCCAGGGTGTCACACGGAGTATCTGTTTTTATTGATTTTCTAGTAGGAGCATTTGAAAATATCTACTGACCCCAGGCCAAAATGGAAACTCTTAAGCAGGCATATAAATGTCGTTTCTCTGATGACAGAAATGTCATTTTTTGGAAAGCCAAAACAAAGATGCCCAAACAGAGCAATTATTTAGATTGCTTATGATGTATTTGACGTGACGGCGAAAGGTCACTTGTCTGCGTCCGCAGCCAGCAGAGACCTGGCACGATCTCCGCAGCGCCCAAGCACGGCAAGGTCGGCTCTGGTTGAATTAAGCGGTGGCTCTCCTTGATCTGAGTCATTAGTGATCCCTCATGATCCGGAGGGGGCTGAGGGTGCTGCTGGGTGGTGGTGGGAGCTGCTGTGCAAGCCAGGGCCCTGGGCCACATGCAGGCTCCTAGCACACTGGCCTGCTCAACTTAGGGGCACTCACAGGCTCTCAGCCTCTGTTTGAGCAGAGGGATCGAGGGGATGCGATTTCTCGCAGCTCCTTCCTCCTGCTGCTCCCTACTTGAGCACGGTTTAACCCTGGCCATGACGTGCTTGAGGCAGTGCGCCCCACTTAGTTGGCGGAGTGACTAACGATGAAGGCAGTGTTTAATTAGGAGAGGTTATCTCACTTTATAATAGCAATATTGCCATAATTGAGGCAATATACATTGTTCTCCCAGTAGGGCACTCCCAGCACAGCAATGCTTCCAGTAGCACTGACAGTGCTCTCACATGGCAGGACACCCAACCTCAACACGTCCAGAGCTCCTAAAGCCATTAAGTGCTTTCTGTTCCCTGGAGTCAGGTAGCCAAATAACAATCTGGTTTTTTTTTGCAGACTTTTTGAGACCCTCCAGTCACTCTTCTGGTCTGTGTTTGGCCTGCTGAATCTCTACGTCACCAATGTGAAAGCCAGACATGAGTTCACGGAATTTGTCGGGGCCACGATGTTTGGCACCTACAACGTCATCTCCCTGGTCGTGCTGCTGAACATGCTCATAGCCATGATGAACAACTCCTACCAGCTCATTGCCGTAAGTTATCTCCTTCTCCCTGTTCCTGCTGTCTCTGCTCCCCGGGGGTCTCCCCTGGTTGGCTTGCAGCAAGTGCATGTCTCCCAGGAGGCTGCAACCTGCTACCCCGCGTCTCCAAAGCCAAGAGCTGGAATTCCCACCCAGGAATCAGGCCCATGGGGGAGGCTTTGCTCTGTTGTAGTGCGCCTGTCTGCAAAAGGCTTCTCCTCTCTGGTCTGCTCTTGTCTTCTCCTGGAGACTAACTTCAGTGATCACCTTGTCATTAACAGCTGGTTTCCTTCGTAGCAGTGAGGGGGTGTAAGCGGAAGCCTTCCCACTGCTTCCAAACGTGCTTTGTTTTCTGACTTGAGGATTTTTTTTAAAGTATGTTTGATAGCTTTCTTCCTCTGCTCTATTATTATTTAACCATTTGAAATCATGTGTGTCAGGAACCTAGTCCTGTAATTTTTTGTTCCCTCATCTTCCCACTGAAATTAAATCGCCTCCGCCTGGAGCTCAACGCAGTTCCGCTGATCGCAGGCCGGTGCGTCCTGACGGCACAGCAGCTCCTGGGCAGGTTGGCTCTGGCCCCAGGCAGCCCCTTAGCTGTAGAGCCAGCTTCAAAGTCAGCTTTAGCTTCATGTCCAAAACCTTGCTCTGAGCTTTCATCCCATCCTATGTACCTAAAAGCCAGTCTGGACATTTATGGTTAAATTTGCCAGTGGATTGAAAAGTCAAGCAGCACAGCTCGGCAGCTCAAGGCTCTTTAGGTAAACTGCTCCTCAGCAGGACAGGAGGACGCAGGAGCTCATCTCCACAGAGCGTCAATAAACCCGTGGGCTCTTTCCAGTTCTGCTTCCCAACACAACAGACCTCGTACACTGAGCTGATGAAGTGTGAGATCCTTGGCAAGCAGAAGCAAGAGTTAGGAAAGTTATCTGTGTCCTCAGCTGGTCACTCAGAAATACAGGCAGATCGGAGACTGACTACTGTAGAGAACAAGACAGACAATAAAACAGAGCAAAAGGACCCTGCACCAGCTCGCCGATTACTTCCACTCCCAACTTCCCAGAAGGATCTCTGGGGAAATGTCTGGATGAATTCCTTTCTGGGCTGAAGCACATGGAGCCGCATACTGACTGCCTGCTTGAACGGTTCCCTGTTGTTGTTGATCATCTGATTCAAGTGGCTCCTAAATTCAGTTATCTAGTCAAACAGAGCACATATTCAATTGAATCAGTGATACTTTTGAGCCTCTGATCTTTATCATGTTAAAAATTACAAGAAAAAACAGGGGCATTGGCCTTGCTAGCAAGGATCCAGAGAGCGTACCGCAGCGGCACCGCTGTTTCGGCAGCTGTGTCAGTGTTCTGAGCACTTCCTACTGTGCAGCGCCAGCCCTCGTGTCCGTGGGACTCTGGATGAGGGGCAGGGTGCAGACAGAAGCTCCGTGTTTTCTGCTAGGCCCTCGCCATGTTGCCATCATCTCAGCTTGCCACTGACACAAAGCCCAAGCCTGAGACTGCTGTAAGAATAAACAGATCTGCGACTCTACGGGATGCCAAGCTCTCCTCACGCTCTCCCAAGTACCGCTGAGGCAAGCCAGGAACAGCCCCGTGTTGGAGAGCCCCTGCGTGACCACTGACAGCAGGGAACTGCTCCAGCTGAACGATACCGAGAGCGGCGGTGGAAACAGCTCTGTGCACAGACACTGCCTGTGACAAGTCTGGGGATACTGGCCGGGCTCACCGCATCCCCTGGGCACAGCCAAGCACTTGGCATGTGGCATGAGGCCCCGGCTCAAATTAATGACCCTGGAATCATGAGGGAATGTTTCCTTTTCCCCACAGAGCGATCCCTGCTGAGGACAGTGGCGTTTTCGGGGGCAGGAGCCGGCCCTGCAGCCTGTGCCGGTGCGAGGCGCAGCCTGCTCTCCAAGGGCGCCGCTTCCGCGCGCTCCCAGCGATGCGCTCGCTGCTTGCGTCTTCCAAGGGCAGGTGTCCATCAATGTCCTCCCTGAAGAAAACAGCTCATTAATAATGCTGAGCTCTCCAGCTGTGGGTCTTCTTTGCTCTCTCTTTACATAGCGTAATCGCTTCTACCCCTGACCGATCCACAGTGCCAGGGCTGCTGAACTGGGCGTTTCTCCCTCTTGGTGTTTCTGTTAGACTGAACATACCTGGAATGAGCTACTGCAGTGAGGGATGAGGGCGCAGGGCCGAGGAGGCTCTGCGTGGGGTGCAGGTCCTCTTCCAACGCGCATCGGTAGGAAACCTTTCATGGTGTGCGGGACTCCGGAGAGAAACAAAATGAGCTAAACGCCAGGGAGGAGAGAGCATCTTCACTTGCTGATTTCCCTGCAGCAGCGTTAATTAATTCCACTTGCTAACGAGGCAGCAGCACTGCTGCAGTGCGAACAGCCCCTCTCCTCCTGTTCTCCAGGCCCGAGGATGTTGCTGCCTTAGCAGCCTTCAGGCTAGCTGTTCTCCACTGTCTCAGATCTCAGCTCCTTCTGCTGTGAAGTGAGAGGGAGCAGAACTAGGCTCCTCTTCCCAGGCTCCTGCCATGGCTCCCGAGCAGGGAGCTCGGGGCTCCGTGGTTAATTAAGTGCTGCAGGCGCTCAGCATGAGACCGCGGCACGTCGGCAGAACCCAGAGCAAGGCAGGCAAAGAGGAAACTTCCCCGACGCGCTACGGACTCCTGACTCACAGAACAGCATGAACTTTTCCTTTTTTTTTTTTTTGATATTTTTGACTAAGCTATTTCAGACTTCAAGAAATATATTTTCTGGGAGTACCCCGAAGCAATTTTGGTATCAATTTCTTTTCACAGAGCCTGTGCTTTTCACTTTTGCCAAGCCACTGCCAAGAGTGGCTTGTGGGAGACATCGCGTTTCCCTGAGGAGCCAAGCGAACCCCAAAGGCGAGACGAGGCGGCCGCGTGGCGTGGGCTGCGTCGCGGTGCGACACGTCACGTGCTCGGCCTCATCACAATGCCTTCCCTGAGGTGGCGCAAGCACTGTTACCCCGTGAGTCCAAAAGGCATTTGTCACCACGAGCAGGGCAAGGGCAGTGGAATTTGTCTTGCAGTGGCCACATGGCCCCATCCCTCAGAAGCGGCATGAAGGAAGAGAGCGGGTGAGGAGGACACATCGGGTCATAGGCTGTTTCTCACTGCACTGCCACTTGGCTGCCCTTGAAGGAGGAGAGTCCTTCTGCCAGGCAGTATTTCTTTCCAAACCACTTGCTGGCAGGTGTTAGTGATGCCCGAGCATGTCTCTCTCTCCAGGGTCCTCGGCACAGGGCATGTGGCAGGGAATAGCAGCCCGCAGGTGTCTCCTGGAAGCACGTTCCTTATGGACACGCCTGGGAAGTCATGCAGGAATTAGTCGCTGGGGCTGCCCCACCAATCCCACCCTGGCACAGCCAGCAGTGCAGGGAGGTGAGATCCATGGGATTTGGAGACCTTCTTTTGCAGAAGGAAGACCCTGGGGATTGACCCCAAGGTGAGGAATGCAGGCGGGTTGGAGTCAGTGGCACAGACCAGCACCTCTGGCTGAAATATTAAGGAGAGTTGTAAGCACTTGCAACTGCTAAATAAACCATCATGGTTTAGCCAAAAAACAAAGCAGCTCAGTGCCTGGGGATGGCAGACACCGAGGCAGGTCTGAGAACCATTGCCCCGAACTAGTGTGCATGGAAGTGTGACCGATCCCAGTGTGTAATATAGGGAGTACCTGCTTTGTCGGCATAATAACGTCATGCTAGCAGTATGTATGAAGTTACAAAATGGTTTTGTTAGATTGTCCCTCCTGCTGGGTGCTGTTTCTGCTCTTTGAAGGCTGGTTCATCTTGGCCAGCTGCAACTGCAAATGATGTTGACAGGTTTAATGTTTCCAGGGGTATCTCTGAGAGCAGAGCGCGACCCATCAGACACACAGATGCCAGGGTTCGGATTATAGAAAATAAGACACCAAAATAGGAGCACGTTTTTAAATGATGGAGTGAAACAGAGTGGATTAGCACGTTTGGGGGGGAATGTTCTGTATAACAGAAAAGCATATGTATAGTAAACAGGAACAGTTGGTACGTGCAGCTAAAAATAAATGAACACTTTGAGGAAATGTTGACTTTAAATTTAGGGATGTTGTGCATGGAGCTTTCTTGATTTTTGCAGAGGAGAGAGCTTAAGAATTAAAGCACCAAGGAATATAAAGGCTTTTCAGTGGCCCATCACGCTGTTTCCAGCGCGAGGCTGGATTTCCCAAAGGCAGTCGTGTCCAGCTGCCCTGTCTGCACAGAGGCAGCAATTCCCCCAGGCCGAGCACCGGCCGCGTTCCCTGGACGCCGCGGTGGCGGGGCCTGCTGCCTGCGTTAATCCTCAGCAGCAGCAGCAGGTCCCCTCCCCAGCGCTCTGCGACCCATGGGGACTGTCAAAAAATGCTGCACTTTCCCTGCCTGCACAACCTGCCACGTTATCACCCAGGGCTTTTGCTGAGGCAGAACCTCACAAAGCACAAAACTTAGCCAGAGATGCAGAGCTGCAGAGCCCCAGCGTGGTGGCTTTGCTTGGCCTCTGTGCAGGCGAATCAGCTCCAAAGTCAGCCCAAATCAGCTCTTCTTTAGCCAGCCGGCTGCATGGAGAAGTTGTCAGCCTGTATATGAGCAATTCCCCCAGTTTTATGGCCCCAGTTTTATGGCGCGGGATGCAACGAGTCCTGCGGTCTCTCCGCAGATGTCCGTGATCCCAACAGCTTCTTGTTGGTGCTTATTGGAGGCTCTTGGTCCTTTGCTGCCTCCAGCCTAACACCAAACCCGCAGCGGTGGTTAATGCTGCCCAGGGTTTGCAGAGCCCCGAAGGCAGCAGACGGCTCTGTGCGCCCGACTCTGCGGGCAGTGATGGGGACTTTGTTGCTAGACCGGTCAAAGCTCATTCTCCAGGGCCCGACCAAAAGTGCTGCCAGCACAAGTAGTCAGCGGGATCACAGGGTTAATTCCTGCAGTTGTTTTAATCTTTAAAAAAAAAGCAACAGATATTTATCTGAGCCTATGCACAACAGCGGCCCAGCCACTCTGGGGTTTATTTGGAGCAGTGGAAACAGCAGGCCGAAAGAGAAATCAAGATGAGTTTGCAATTTACAGGGCCCCCTGGTTGACAGAAGACACTTTATAGGAAATTTGCTGCATTTATCCCAGTGGGTCCCTTTTTCTCTGCTGCAGACAACAGCCCGGTGCCCTGCCTGACAGGTCAATGATTCTCTGCCCATTGCATGCCAAGCGCCGCAGCAAGCTCTGCTCTCGCTGCGTGATCCAAGTTGAAGCATCCAGATGGAACCGCGTCGGCTGCAGCCCTCTGCGTTGCCCCATCTTTTATTTAGAGCTGACAAGCTCAATTAGCGTTACCGTATGCCTCTGCAGCAAGGGGACTTTTGTACAAGAACGGCAGAAGAAAAAAGAGTAAGTGGAAGATAAAGGAAAAAATATTTTCTAGGAAAATAAAGGGAACCAAGAAATAAAAGGGATTTACTGGGAGAACCTCTCACCTGAGGCTGAGCAATGGGAACAGCTATATAAAGAATCCCCTGAAACACAACTTTGTGAACCCCAAGTTTCACAGGCCGTCTTCCCAACACGTCACAATCCAGTGAGGAAGCTGGGGCTCCTGAGCTAGGGAAGCAGCACTGCATGCAGGTGAAGTGGTCGGTGTGTGGCTGCCCGGGCTGCAGCCCTCGCGGCACCGCTCGCCCCGCGCATCCCGGTGCCCGATCGCAGCCCGAGCAGGATGCAGCGGCTTCTTGGCCCAAAGCAGATCACCTAGGGATTCCAGTGATCCCCGTCCTTTCACATGCAGAGCTCAACTGGGATTTTGCTGCTCAGAACTAGCTTATTTTGGTGGGGCGGGGGGGAAGAGAGAGATGTGAGAAAAGTATCTGATTCTCCTTTGCAACTGTCTCCCACCTGGCCAGCAACAAAATTCTTCCTCTTCCCTGGAAAGCTCAGATCCCAGGCTGACAGACTGCACAGGAAAAGATCAAAGAAAAAGAACTCAAAGCTGTGGGAGAGCAAGTGATGCCAAGTGCATTTCTGCCAGGGTACTAATGCAGCCATCGGCACCCAGCTCTTCGGGTTAGACAGCCCTTCTTGGCCCTCCTTTTCTGCCTGGCCTGTGTGAATTACTCAGTTTTGATGTAGCTGCAGGTCGTTACCGTTATCAGCACCCTTGGGTGTTATCAGTCTGTCTTCTGGCGTGAAGAAAAGCCCCTTATCAGCAGTGAGATAACGGATACAGGAGAACAAAGCCGGGCAATATCTTCCACTTTGCTTCTTCCTGCTGCAGTTCTTTAGAGAACTATTTGTCTACATGACCTTCATACTGTTCTGATTTATTTGACTATTGAAATAACAACTGAACTTTGCTGGAATAGGACTGAAGAAGAAGAAAGGAAGGGTGTCAGCCTAAATAATTTAACTGCACTAAAAACAGCACAATTCACAGTTCTCTGTGTTTTATCAAAAATAATATTCCCTGACCTTCTCATTAGCTCACAGTTATTTCTAGGCAACGTGCTGGTGAGAGATGAAAGGTAATTGATATATACAATCAAAATACTTTGTGCAATATAGTGCACTGCAAGCTATAACAAAGATTTTAATTACCAAGTCTATTCTGCACTTGGAAGGTATAAATAGCGGCCATGCTAGCGTGTGCATTTTCCAAGCACAAGCCAAATCATTCCCTGAAGCTGGGAAAACCAGGTAAAATGGAGCTGTCCAGAGGGAAGTGATGGTCAATGGTTCTCTCGCCGCGGTGCCGCCCGGGTGGGATTTGGTGCTAGGCAGGACTTTCATCTCCTCCCGGGCTCCCCCATTCCCTGACCGCTCCACTTGCTCCTGCTGGGGCTAGACTGGCCTCTGCTCATCGTTTTTCTGGCCTTGCTTTGGAGACGGATCCCATTAAGTTCTTATCCTTCAGGGTGTCACCCGTCTCTGAAAGCGCAGCCGCTTGCTGTCAGTGGCAGCTGCATTAATTGGCTCTGTGGGTCCCCGTTTTTCCTCATAGATGTTTTTTCTTTGTAAGAAGCCTATTTGCTTTAAAAATACTCAGCATTATTAACCTCAGAGATTCTGTTTGGATTTTGCTGCTTGTGTCTTTGAGCTGGCCATTACACCCCCAGGCTCTGCTGATGTCTTTACCAGCCTGTCCAGCACATACTGCAAAATTAGCACCTTGCAAACTGCAGAGAGGCTGCCTGTGTCAGTCCTGCGAAGATTAATTTCCCTTGGCCCTCCTCCTGCCAGGCTTTCTGCTCAAAATACACAGGCCTTTAGGTTTTTGCATTAGCCTGCTGGAAAGCCAGAGCAAATATCTTGCCCCCGCTGCTGCCGGCTCCTGGTGCATTCAGCCAAGACACAAGACAGTCTGGGCTCTCTCCCCAGCCTACCAGCTCCTCGGCACCACGAGCTGCAGGGCAGTAGGAGGTGCCACGGCCGGGCACGGGCGCTGGGTCGGAGGCTGCCACCCGCCGGGGACGCGCGAGCAGGTCCACGTGGCCAGCGGGGCGAGGGGAGGCTGCATAAAAAGCACTTAACCAAGTGTAAACAACAGATTTCCTGCACAGAGATAAAGATGGAGATTTATGCTGGAATTATCCTGAGTAATTAGTGTAGCAGGTAATTATTTGAACTCTGGCACATCTGTGAACACATCACTTTGACCAAATTAGAAAATCCGCACAACTGCTCCAGGAAAACGGCCTCAGCATGCCCCAGGGAAATCTTAGCGTGGGGATTATTCCTTGCTTCAAATGGCAGCGATTGCAACAGGATTACGTGGCCGGGATGACACAGTCGCACTGTGCTAGTAACTGATGCCGGTTTTCTCGCCCAGAGAAGCTGAGCGATGGTTTCTTGGAGTTCAGGTGTTCTCCGAGCTCGCAAATTTAGTTGTCTTGGAAGGAGAGCGCTTTGTAGCTGCAACGTGAGCGGCGCTGGAGAGGAAACGGTGGTGAGAACAGGGGCAGGAGCAACAAGAGCTCAGAGAGGGGACAGCGAAACCCAAACTGGGAGGTAAATCATGAAATCCCCAGGACCGCACTCACAGAGCTCATGGGGCTGTTTCTTTGGCTGACTGAAAATGTTGTAATATAGTTGTCATCTAACCCACTGCACCATGCAGCCTGGGGGAGGACGTGGTGGCTGGGACCCAGCTGAGCCAGGGATGCCCAACCTGGGCCAGAGCTTCAGTGCAAAACAGGTTTCGACTCAGGAGCTCACCAAAAACTTAAGCCTGACCCCCTGGTGCTGTGGAAATGCAGCGACGTGTGGAGGGTGGCCGGTGGTCGCTGAGGCCACACACGGAGCCAGCGCAGTGGCCAGAGGCTTTGGGAGGGCGCAAGGTCTGACCGGGCATCGAGCACAGCCCTGGGCACCAGGAGCAGAGCTGGCAAAGGCGCCGTCCTTCGGCGCACAGGACTTCACTGCTGCAAGCACGAGGCAGAGCTCCAGCAACGACAACGCTGCCTTCCTGGCACGCAAAGACATTCACAGGCAAATTAAGATGTCTGTTTTGGGAGCATCGCCAGCACAGAAGCGCTGCCAGGGACTCTCTCCTGATTTGCTCAGGGGCCAAAAGCATCAAGGTGCACAAGTGAGCGGGGTGGAGCCTGCAAACCCCAGAGAACTCACAGCAGCAGAGACGCAGACAGACACACAGCCAAGAGGCACCTCGAGCTTCGTACAGAGAGTCTGTCTTGGAAACGGCGACGTTGCACTTCTTGGCCAGGCCTGCACAGGAAGAAGCACTCGGAGAGGCACGAGGAGCGGGAGGGATCATTCAAAGCCCCCGCTCTGTTCTCAGCAGCTCGTTCAGGGGTTCTGCTCCTTCCTGCCCAATCCAAATCACTTTGCATTTGCCTTTTCTCTTGCCTTGCACTGCTACTTTGTATAGATAATCACATTTTTAGTTTAATCCCATGTCAGATAGTGTTAGCATAAATGCTAAGCAGCTAAAATGCCAGAGCCATCAGCTTGGCATTAAACTTGGCACTGATAACAATACCTGTCTTCACTGTTTTAATTTTTTCTAGTATTGTATGCGGCATTCAGCACTGCTTGGCTGGAAGGATTCAAATGATTTCTCTTCCTTTTCTATCCAATATCCTAATTCCTGCAGATCATAAGAAACAGTGACTTAACTTTTAACACCGGTGCACAGCATGAAATCCAGCCTGGATCCCGTTGAATCCCGGCTCCCAGTAGATGTCTTTAGTAGTGTTGTGAGCACAGCCCCGAGGGGATTGTGCTTGGAAGCGAGGCAGTGAGATGACGCCGTGCCCCACCGGCTCCCGTGTCCTTCCTCCACCACTGGCGCGTGCGCCGGTGCCTCCCACTGACGCTGCTGCCTTCTCTTCTAGGACCACGCAGACATTGAGTGGAAGTTTGCCCGGACGAAGCTCTGGATGAGTTATTTTGACGAAGGTGCCACTTTGCCCCCTCCTTTCAACATCGTCCCGAGTCCCAAGTCGGTCTGGTACCTCTGCAAGTGGATTCACACCCAGCTGTGCCCGGGCAGCACCTCCACGAGCGAACAGAAGAGGCACGAGAACCTCAAAACGTTCACAGTAAGCAGCCACGCGCGGTTACGCTTTGCTCCATAGGGCGTTTGCTCTGCTGGGACACGCAGGCTCCTGCTGGAGTCTAACCTGCGAGGAGACATCGGGAGCTTGAAAGGCAGGATGGCCCCGATAACGTAACTGTGCCTTCTTAATTCCAGGAACGGCACGCGGACAACCTGATTCAGAATCAACATTACCAGGTAACCCCCACAGCTGTTTCTCCTCCCTGCTTGCTTTCTAATACCTCACTGCTCGCTCTCTCCTAGAATGTCTTCGCGCTTGTCACGGATTCAAGTGCTTTGTGGCTTGTGGTGGGGTGGTCCCGCACCTCAGCCTGGCCTGGGCCACCTTGGAAATGGTGTGGAACTGGCTGGGCACCGGCCCTCTGGCTGCACCTTCCCCATCGGCCTCCCCAGGGCCGGCTGCCAGGCCTTCCTGCTTACACCCATTTCTGCAGGGGTTCCAGACAGGCTCAAGACTTGTTTCCCTTTTATCTTTTTTTCCCCTTTTTACTCCTTCTCATCCCTAAGCCCCGCTCAAACAAGGCTAAGGCTTTTCTTCCATTTTGGAAGGCTCAGGAAAGAGGAATTGCTCTTGTGCTGATTTTTGCTGTTTCTGTTTACTCTTAGCCTGCCCATCATCAAATTCTCATTAAATTCAACTTACAAAAGGACAAAGCTGTATTAAAAGCTCTGGTTGCAGCAGTTGCACTCATGTGACGCATTACACTAACGTTCTGTGGAGAAAAAGAAGAATTTCCAGAATATTGGTTTGTCTATCAGGCTATTACTGTCGAAAACAATGAGCAATTTGCCTTAAGACAATTTCTGTTTTCTGAACAGCACATGCCACAAGAATTGATGTTTACCATAATTAGTCACTTTTCACACAAAACACCTGTACAAAACACTGGCTTACTGTATTTAAAAACTGAGCATTCCAGATAAAAGATAACACGGCCCTTTCTAAAAGTGTGCTCTGTTTAGGAGAAGTTGCTCTTGTTTCTAAGGGCGAGTGACTTTTCCAATGCGCAGTCAGGACAGCCCCTGTTAGCAGGAAGCCAGTGCAGCTCAGCAGGAGCAAAGCTTGGGCTGAAGACGTGGCTGAGTCACTTGTTCTGCTTTTGCCTTCAGGAAGTGATCCGAAATCTTGTGAAAAGATACGTTGCAGCTATGATAAGAACTTCCAAAACCAATGAAGGTTTAACTGAAGAAAATTTCAAGGTAACTGTTATTCTGTGGTAAGCAGTTATTACATCCGGGTCATTCAGGCAGCCACTCATTATTTATTACATCATTAAACCTTTATTTTCTTTCTTGGGGGTGGATTTTGGTCAAGAGGGCTGGTCCTACAGCATTTGGAAACAAAGATCGTGGGAGGGTCTCCAGTCCTTAGAGCTACCAATGCATTTTTTTCCTGTCACTGAATCATGAAAGATTTATGCGGTATTCTTATGAGTGTGATTTAGTATCAGCCATTTACATAACTTTGAACAATTCGCCCAGGGGAACGCAATCGTTCTTTCATGTGAGAAAGCTTCTGTGCCTAACTCAGCTTTCCTCTGGCCCTAGGAATTAAAACAGGACATCTCGAGCTTTCGCTATGAAGTTCTTGACCTCTTGGGAAACAGGAAGCCCCAGAGGAGAAGTTACTCTACCAGCAGCACTGAGGTGTCCCAAAAGGATGATGCAAATGAGGATGGTATTGAAGAAAAACCCAAAGCCAAGAGTGTGTCTTTCAATGTAGCCAACAAAAAAAAAGATTTCAATGTATCTGCTCTAATTAAAACTATGTCTGGGATTGACGTGGTGGATGAGAAGCCAAAAAGCAACGGGATCAGTAAGCGCTCCTTCATCCGCAACGGCAACAGAGTTCAGAGACTCTCCAGTGCCAAGAAGGAGTCCTTTAAGAGGCTGGGGCTACTATTCTCCAAGATGAACGGACACGTACCCGAAACAAACTCGGAGCCCATGTACACGATTTCAGATGGAGTTATTCAGCCACACTACATGTGGCAAGACATTAAATACTCTCAGATCAATAGAGAGAGAGAAGAGAATTGCTCCAAAAGCGAAATTAACCTCAATGAGGTGGACTACAGTGGGAACACGAGACTCATGGGCCAGAGCAAGGAGTGCCCTGGGGTTTGTACCAGCTCCCTTCACTGTGCTTCCAGTATTTGTTCCTCTAACTCCAAACTTTTAGACTCCTCGGAAGATGTATTTGATTCATGGGGAGATGCTTGTGACTTGTTTATAAACAAGTGGAAAGACGGGCAGGAAGACCATGTTACAACACGGTTATAAGTAAAGCTATCTAACACCTGCTAGAAAACTTAGCTAGTTATTTGTAACGGTTTGCTATCACCCGGATCAGCGGTACCATTTCCATTCTGTCCATAGGAGAAAAGAAGATCTTAGGAGAAAAAAAAAAAAAAAACAAGTGTAAAACTCTAGTTACATTAGCCTATTTTATACCCATCTGCATCTTTTACGTTTTTACACTCCCTAATACCACATTAAAAGTTTCACCATTTCTAAAGTCACCCCAGGGCTCCCTTCCCATGCAGTCGCAGTGCCCGAACCCTGCAGAATTGGACGCGGGGTCACAGAGAGCTGCTCCCGTGCCAGTGCATTGCCTGCTCCTCTGTGCTCCCCTCCGCACCCCACATGTGCTGCTTGAGGGCAGCGGGACGAGCAGGGCCGCAGCAGCTCAGCAGGAGGCTGCGAATCATAACAAAAATCATCTTGGAAAGGATTTCAGGTCATAACCGGCTTTTTGATTTTTTTTAAGCAATACGGCCTACACTTCATTCAGTTGTGTCTATTTTTTTAAGGTTGTCTACCATTGTCACCCTTAAACTCCTCCTGAGTAAGAGGCACCTTCTGTTGCTCAGCTAGAGCCTAGTGTGAGCTGCTGCTTTACCCAGTTTCCCTCACGCAGGAGGCAGTCGAGCTCCTGGCTGGAGCAGCACTGGGAGCTCCCGGCCTCGCTGCCGCCTCTGCCCGACTCCCTGCCTGAAACCCAGACCCATGCCCAGCTCCCCCCCACATGGCCGGAGCGGGGGCCAGCTCAGGCGGGCCATCATCAGCAACATGCTCGGCCTGACCGCGCTGGCTGCTCCCCTCACAGAGGGCCCTTGGGCAAAGCGGTTGAATTGCCCCATTTTTAAGCACCTGCTGCTTGAGCTTTCCCTGTGCCATTGCTGCGCTAGGGGCACCTCATAGCGCCTCAGAGCCCAAACGAGGCACCTCCTGTGAGGTAAAACCCACTGCTGAGCTCCCAGTGAAGGCTCCATGCCCCTCAGAGGCCACGTGCAGAGAAGCTAAGCGTGAGGGCAGCCACCCTGAGGTGGCTCTTCTCTGAGGCAGGATGTGTCTGGGTCAGAAAACCTCCTCCTACGCTTGGCAGGGGCCAGACATGAGGCAGGGGTGGCAGCAGCACAGAGAGGGGGCAGGAAGGTCCTGTTCATGGCCCAGCAGCCCGTGTGGCAGAGATGGATCTGGGATACTTTGCCAGAGTTTTAACTCCAGCTCTCTTGTTGAGGGGAAAGCCCTTGCTGGGTTTTCCCTTTGGACATGCGAGTCACAAGGGGGCACACGGTGCCCACCAGAGCCCTCAGCAGCCATTGGGCCAAGGCTCCCAGTGGCTGCGGCGCTGGCAGGATGGAGCAGGGGAAGCAGAGGCAGCTTTGAAAGCCACAAGGGCCCAGGGAAGCTCCACCTGCAGAAGCCCAGGTCAGGGCACGGTGCTGCTCTTTGCTGGAGAAATCCAACATCCCCCTTCTCAGCGAGGGGAGGCCACCTATGCCCCAGAGCTGCAGGCAGAACCAATCATTGGCAATTCTCAAGAGAGGCCCAGGAAAAACCTCAAGTTTAATAAACCCAAGCAACTGAGGCCGTTTCTGGAAACACAAACATTAACTGCGTGTGGGGAGGGATCTGCATCATTTCACACCTCACCTGGCCCCCCACCGCCCTTCCGTGAAGGAGGACCAGCAACCCCCCAGGGTATTTCCTCCCTAACAAGTAGGAAGAACTTGCAAAAATGTAAAAATCCTTCCTGTGCAGCCAGCACAAAGCATATTCATCTGCTGTGCATGGGAAGGGGAGGGTAGGAGCTGGTGCATTTCAACTGAATAGTGGATGATGCTGTACCCCAAACTCTTGATCATGTTCTGCTGGGTGAGATGTGCATCACAGCTACTTGACTGGGTCTCCCACGGGATTTGCTGCATGACTCAGACATTTCCTAACTCTCAGCTTAAGTGCTTATCTGAGCTGACTTTTCAGTTTAACACAAATCTTTGATTGTGCTAAGTGATTAATACATATATGCAGGAGTCCGCAGAACTGTCAAACTGGACCCCAGAAAGGCTGAATCTGGTTGACTGCAGCGACGCACCCTCAGGATAGCAACAGGCATGAGAGTAGCTGATGAATGAGCAGTAGCGTTAGCCTGCTTAAACGGGATCTTCTGGGGAGGAAAACTGAAGCATCTTGTCAAAAACAATACACCAGAACTGGTGAATTTTGGTTCTGTTTAAGTTCACTTACAGTCAGCATTTGGGATTTCACTAGCATTTTTCTATTTTCAATTGCTGAAAGGGAAAACACGTTCTGGTGAAAGTTACTCTTCCCTTTGGAAGAAATGAGTGCGCTACCTCTGTGCTGGCCAGGCAGCTGCCAGGGCACTTGAGGGTCTCCAGCGACAATCTGAGCTTTTGGACTCAATGATCTCAAACCTCTTTTCCAACCATAATGATTCTGATTCTGTGCAACCAGTGCAAGCCTGGCCTTCAGCCTCGGTGCTTCCATGACAGCCCTGGAACACACGGAAGGAATTTGGAATTAAGAATAACATAGCTCTGGAGCACATGGCCTTTCTTCAGGTTTCTTGCACTTGAAGTTGCTTGATTATTAGCCCCCATCTTGTGCCATTTTCACCTGTTTAGAGCAGCGCAACTAAAAGGCATCACAGAAAGGAGGTTAACAAGTAACATCCAGGTACAGGACATTGCACAGACCCAAGAGGTGTTTGTACTCAGGCCAGGGATCAAAGGAGTTGTTTCAGAAACAAAAAGTTAGAGTAACATATCCCTACAGATTATTTGAATAGCGGTATTTGTAAATATTAGAGTATTTGTATATGTGGCCCTACAAAGCAGCATGCATAGGGGCTACAGCATGGGATCAGAAAACTGCATTTCTGGGGCCTGTTCCCAGCTCTGCCACCAACTCACCTGTGACCTTGGGCAAGTCACGTAGCCTCTCTAATGCCTCAGTTTCCCCATCTGTAAAATAGGGATAATAACACTTACCTACCTCGCGGGGGGGTTAGTTCATTATTTATAAGCACTTTCAGATCTTCCAATTAAAGGCACTATAGACACCCTAAGCAGTTAATGTGAGTAGCAGTAGTATGTATTTTTATTTTCTTACAACTAATTCTGGTTAGGATTTACCTGTAGGAGCCTTATGAGGGTTTTCCATGCGGAAAACTGGGATGCCAGGGCCTCGGCAGCAGATGGGGAGCCGCGCAGGGCGCCCGGGAAGCCCGGGCTCTGCTCACCCCTTGCTCTCGGGACTTACGTCTCGCCCTTCGCCCTACCGTGCTCTGCTTGTGTTTCCTCCTCCTTTTCTAATGGTACCTGTAACAGTTTCTAGCAGCAACCACCACTGTAAATATTCAAAACTATTTAAATAAATATATTCACATATAAATATAAACCTTACCCCTTACCTTTTAAAGGGTCTGAGAAAGCGGTGCAAGCGCCCGATGGCCTCGGGGGTCTCTTTCCAGATGACTCAGAAAGCTGCACGAGCTCCTGCTGTTCTCCAGCCATTCCCAGTGTGTCCCAGCTTCCCTGGGACACTGCAGCGTCCTTTGGATACTTCTGCTTTCCTTTGCCAAAGGATGAAGTCCCAAAGAAAAACATATTGCAGTCATGCAGCCAGAGAGTCCACCCGGGTTCAGTTTGGGGGCGAGCACTACGTTAGCTCTGTATGGCAGCTCGAAGCCACTGGAGGAGCTTCTAAAATAGAACATTGCCAAAATAACTTGTAGTTGTTAGAGAACTCATTCCTTAAAACCCAGCTGCTGTAAAATCATGTGTAACTGGATTTTTAGTGTTGTTTTCTGGAGAAGGTGGGGGGCATTCTGGGCCAGCCACAGATTATATTACAAATTTATATTATGGGTTATATTACAAATGGAGAGAAAATGTTTTAATTTAATTTTCATGCTCCTACACTCCCCTTCTCAGATTGTAACTTTGTACAAAAAAAAAGTCCGTTTAGACGTCAGGAGAAGCACTTCATTCTTCATCTTCACGCTATCTAGCGGCTCTTTAAACTTCAGGGAAACTCTTTTACCTTCAGTTTTTCCCAAAGAGGGCAAAAAACCCCACCAAAACAATCCCAAACCAGAAATCGCACCCTAACTCCAACCACCACAGTGTTAAGAAGCCAGTTGACCCACCGATTCCTCCTTGACCCAAAGACACTTTTCAATCCACAACCCAGGAGCCCCACAGAACAGCAGTACCCATCTCTCAGGCTCCTACACTCACCTTCAGCTCAGCTTATTTCGTTTCCCTGGGGGATTTTTTTCCATTTAAACCCTTTCTGGAGCAGCAGTAGCGGCTGGGAGAAGCTGCAGGCTCAGCCCTACCGCATGTAACTCGTGAGATGAACACTGTGAACAGAACGAAAGGCCTCTTGACTATAAATAGTTGTTTTTGAGCAAGGGGGAACATCTTGGTCCAGTGTTTTGGGGGTTTACAGACGTTTTCTTTACGAGGGGGCTCTGGGAAGCGGCGGGCCGGGGCTCCTCGAGGTGCAGAGGGAGCAGCAGACACTGGGGCCATCTCTTCTCCACACGTCAGGCCCTGGAGAACCGGGTGTGCTGCAAGCAGTTGCTTTGGGTTCTTGCACAATCAAGTTTTGGTATCAAATTAAGCCTTCATGAAAAAGCCATCACAGAAATGGCTTTCCACCCAATCATAGTTTGAAGTCACATATTACTTCTTGGAGCAAATGGTGAGGCTTTTGTCTTTTAGTTTTGGACAAAAATGTTACGGACCTTTCCAGGCAGAAGAGCTCCTGGCTGCAGCAGGAGTTTTGCCCACACGATGGCCAAGGGAGATCACGGGCGCCCATGGAAGGGGCCAGGGAGCAGTGAAGGCAAAAAAGCAAAAAGCAAAAACAAATGCGTTGTTTTATGTACTTTTCTACTTCATTTTTTTGTCCACAGGACAGACTCCACATCATTCCCCCACATAACATTTAAAAATGAAATGTATATAATAAATAAAATTATTTATTTTATGTGTATTTTTAGCTTAACTGTAAATTGAAAGAAAAAAAAAAGCATTTTTTCCTGAAAATGTAAGCCTATTGAAATTCAAGGTGTTTCTACCTTTTCAGATGTAACGTTTCCAGCTGCCTATTGATAATAAACATTTATGAACAGCACTGGGTCTGACGGGTTACGAGCACTTACCGCATTCAGGGTGGCGTCGCTGCCCGCGGAATCGAGGCCCTCACTCGCTCACATAAAGCTGCCCTTGAGCAGGTGTCACCAAAGCAACAGAGGTAACGGAGGGTTCCCTGAGCTGCTGCTGGGGCCGAGCGTGTGGGAAAGCTGGCCACGGACAACAGCCCTTTCCTGGGGGCAGGAGATGCACGGGGAAGGAAGCAGGGCAGACATGTGCATGGAGAAACACTGTCTGCTCCGCAAGCCGGAGCAAAGCCAAGGACAAGGAGGCTGCAGATCTGCAGAGTCTGAACCAAATCCAGAGAGAAAAGGGGTTAGAAAGTCTGTTCATTTTCATCATTACATGGCATTTCGTTTCCTCAGAAAAGGGCCATTTTCTCCAGCAGCATGAGGTTGAGCATCGCCATGGCCGTGAGAACGGCTACAACAGGAGAAACGACAGCTCTTGTCCTGGCAGAAAGCCCGGCACCCTGCAGCTGATGGCGAAACCTGCACTGGCTCCAGCAAAGGCAAGATTTAGCATCGGGGACGTGAGTGTCACCATGAACAGTGGCCAGCGTGCACAGACACAATCCCATGAGGAGCAGGACACATGTTCCTGCTCCCGTACATTTCCCATTGCTCGGAGAGGGCTGAATTGCAATAACTGCGCCAGCCATGCTCCCACGCATGGCCCGGGGCTGATGCTGCCACAAATGCTACCGTTTCTGGATACGGACCTGCCCTGCAAAATTTAAACTCTGCTCTTATTTCTAAGCCATAAAGGCCCCATCCAAGGGTTTCATCTCCCTCCATTGTGAAAGCAGCAATTACTTAGAAGCATAAGTCTGGATTTATATTTTGAATATCTTCCATACATCAAGCTGTATTTGACAGTATAATTTTATAAATAAGGTACCCAGCAGCAGCGCGGTGAGAAGGGGAAGCTGAGAGTAAAACAAAGCAAGCGAGCTCGAAGCACTGCTCGCTGTAGGGCTCAGCGTGGTGCCCTCGCGCGAGCGCGGCGCAATGCGAGCGCGAGAGGCGGCGGTAATGAGAGCCCTGCGGGCTAATGCTGCCGGCGGGCGCCAGCGGGGCCGTTTTTCTCTACAGTATTTATAATAATTATCTTCCATAATGGATGAATTTTACAATTCAAAAGACTTCAGAAAGAGCTGTGTGCCTCCAGCACACTGTTGCAAGCGCTGCAAGCGCTGTTATAGACGTTTATAAATACGGATCAAACCAGGAGCGGGGCTGTTTCCCAGCTCCAGAAATGCCGCAGGATGGTGAGGGAGAAGCAGGAGAGGCTCCCGGGGGCACAGCGACACCCCCCCCCGCG